CAGTGCGAAAGTTGGGCAGCAAGTTGAGGGGTGTGCGCATCCAACCTCAAGCTGGATGAGTGAAGATTCTGAGTTTTACATGCAGAACATGTACGATACAACTAAAGCAGAAGAGTATGTAAAATGTCATTTCCTTTTACACGTTACTCGGGTTTGTACTTTTGATGTGCATTCTACTTGGTGAAATGCCTTGGCTGACTTTAGTTCTCTGCGTCCTAATGCTATTCGCATACATTGCGAATTAGAATGGTGACAGTTGTCGGTTCTCCAAATGTTGTAGTTTGCTCTCTTTGTTGAATGGTGACGATTGTCGGATTTGTCATTACCTTTTGGGTTCTTTAAATGTTGTAGTTTTGCTCTCTTTGTTGAATGGTGACGATTGTCGGATTTGTCATTACCTTTTGGGTTCTTTAAATGTTGTAGTTTAGCTCTTTTTGTTGGATGGGCGTCTTGCCTCGGGCGCAAAGCTCCTTTTACAGTAGTTTAATTGAAGATCCTGGTGCAATTCAAAATTGAGAAATTATGAAATTAAAGAAAGAGGGCGACTTTTTTTTGGCAAGAGAAACAAGGGTAATATTTCGGGAGTATATAAAAATAACTCACGTAATTCTCAAATAGTACAAACTCAACAATCTCTATACAATAAAATTCAAACTATGGTAGCTAATTGAATAGGTGACATAATCTAAGTAGTTTGTTCAATCGGACTACACACGCTCTACAAGCTGCACGTTACAGGCTCGATTCATCATCCGACTGCCCCGATCAACGAAGCTCCAATGTGATCACTGTCGTTGTGCTTTGCAGACCGATCTACCAAAATATTGGTAATTTCATTCATACGTTACTTCGTAATGTCGCAAGGTACTCAGGCCTAGTCCCTGAAGCAGAGATTTGTGGGCCTGGACCGGCCCGCTGCATCGAGGATTGGATCTGTTTTGGGTCATATAGAGGATGAGGGTTTAAGCTCTGACCCGTATAAAATTCCCCCTGCAGGCGCTTATCTCACCCGCTGCCGTTATGTTGCTCTCGATCCTCCCACGGCTAACTTCCGGTGTTTCTGCATCCCTGTGGATATGTAGTTTATTCGAGATTGCGATGCTTTCATGTGGTTTTTTTCCCTTTTGCACACGATTGACTCGATGAATGATTTTGTAAAACGAAAGCTGCATTTGAATGGTAACCTCGTGCATCTTGCTTTTGAATTGATCGTTGCGCTGAGAAAATGTGAAAAGATCCAGGTGACATGCAAAACTTGAGGCTTCAATTAGTTGGCCCGGTTCTCGCGGAGTTGCCGGTTACAGTGATGAAAATTTCGCTTGAGCCCGTTTTTTTTTTTAGCAATTAATCTTTGCTTCTCGACGGCCGGAGGGGGGCGGCGGGAGGCGAGCGCAAGCGATGAGATAGAAAATTAAAAATATTTTGATTTGATTTATGTTCCATAAATAGAGAAGTTACAAATTTTTACTTTTGATTTTTGTTTCAAAAATAGAAAAATAAAATTGTATTACCAAACGGATTTCTGTTCCAAACCTATTCCCGGGAACAGAAAATAAGTTCTGTCCAGAATCAGAATAGTTATCATTCACACCTTTGGTCTTTGGCTCGGTTATCAAAATTAGTACGACTTATACACGTGCACGTGATTTATAAGAAAACATTTGTTTGCAGGCTTGCTAAACTTAACGCTAAATTACATTTCACTTACAAATAATTTAATAGATATATATAATTAATGATATAACACATTAACTATCATTTTTTGCCCCAAAGATACAATTATATTATCTGACGCTTACCCAAGTGAGTATATTCATTTTTTTTATTTATCATTGGATAGCACAAAATAATAACAAAGTTTTAATTATTAAATATAATTTTTTTGTAAACTATGTAATCAAAATAGTTATCACAAGCTTATATCATTTATAATATAACGGATTCACTATAGCATTGCTTTTATATTTTATCATAATGGGGAAAAGGCCACAAAAACCTCTAAATTCTGTCCACTTGGACTTATTTAGCTCATTTTTTTTGTTTGTAACAAAAAATGCTTTAAACTTCTACTAATGTGACGCTTTTACCAAAAAAAAAATGTTGACACAAAATTTCTCAAACTTCTACCCGTCTGATATATTTATCCAAACTTTTCTTTAGTAAAAAGAAAGGCCAGTAAGGGTCTGTTTAGTAACGTTTCTGTTTCTAGAAACAGTTTCTGTTCACAAACAATTTTTTCTATTTCTATTCCGTATACAAATTTCTGGGCAAAAAAAAGCGTTTAGTAACTGCATAAAATTTCTATTCCCGAAGTAGAAAAAGAACAGAAATGCGTTGGTAGGACATTAAAAATTTTTACTTCCAATTAAAAATTTCTACTTCCAATTTTTTCATTTAATTATAAAATTATCGGCGGAGACTGAACAATTCATGTTTTGATAAAATTGGACTCGAAATAGAATAAGAATATATTATGATATAGAATTGGATGACCTTAATACAATCATAAATAAAATTACTGCTTATAGACAAAGCAAATACCATGTGGTGGTAGAGAAAATTGCAGTTTAGGGGACTTAACAATTCATGTTTGAATAAAATTGGACTAGAAATAGAATAATAATATATTATGATATAGAATTGGATGACCTTAATAAAAACATAAAGAAAATTACTCCTTATAGATAAAGCAAATACCGGGCGGTGGTCAAGGAAATTCAGTTTAGGGTGTAGGATTTTAGGATTTTCGGTTAGGGATTAGGGTTTTAGGATTTCGGTTTTGAGGTTTAGGGTTTGGGATTTAGGTTTTAGAGTTTCGGGTTAGGGGTTTTGGGTTTGGGGCTTTAGGGTCTGGGGTTTAGTGGTTTAGGGTTTTAGGGATTCGGGTTTTGGGTATTGAGGTTTGGGATTTAGGGTATAGGGCTTAGGGTTTACAGTTTAGGGTTTATTGTTTAGAGTTCGGGGTGTTGTGGTTTGGCGTTTTAGGATTTAGGGTTTAGAATTACGATTTTAGGGATTAGGTTTTAGGGTTTCGGGTTTAGAGTTTGGGGTTTAGGATTTAGTGTTTCGGGTTTGGGATTTTAGGGTTTGGGTTTAGGATTTGGGGTTTAGAAGGTTGAGGGTTTTAGGGATTTGGGTTTTGGGGTTTTGAGTTTTTGATGTTAGTGTTATGAGTTTTAGGGTTTGGGTATTGAGATTTAAGGTTTTGGGGTTTTGGGGTAAAGTTTAGAGTTTATGATTTAAGGTTTAGGGTTTCGTATGAGAATATATTATGAAAGAAAGAGAGCTGAACTTATTTCTTTATTGTTTCTTTTTTTGTTCTAGAAATAGAAAAGCATATTTTTTTTACTTATTATTTTTGTTCTAAATCTATTCCATGACCACTTTTTTGTTTCGTGGAACAAAAAAACTAACTGACGTTACTAAATGGATTTCTGTTCTTTTTCTGTTCCGGAGATTAAAAGAAGTCGCGACCTACCCTCCGCCAAAGATCGGGTTTAGGCCAAGAGGTATTTGTCGATGGATATAAACAACGATTGGCTCATTTGAAAGACAAACCAAATGATTCATTAATCCAAAGACCGAGGTACTCCCGAGCCTCATACCTCGCACGATGAGAATTTTTTCAAATTTACGCATTTGATTGGAGTCGCCACTAGCCATGATCAAAGGTCGGCTAGAAACCCTGATCGAGACGCGGGAGTATCGTCTCGATACGAGCCAAAACTAGAGATTCTAAAGTTCGGGGACTTGAATACACTAGTGATCTAACTAGTGCCCTTTCGGTATCTAAACTTGAATGTTCGCAAACTAACGTACTAGGCAGCTTATCGAAAAAGCTAAGATTCCACCTAACCATTCTAAAAATAACAATCAATGTATTAAAAGTGCACAACCAGATAATCATGAAGAAAATAAACGACCACCGACCTAACATCGTCTATAAAAAGAAAATGCAATAAAAAGCCCTAAGGTAAAGCCCTAATTATTATCCGATTTTTGAGAATTTTTTAGAGGGTTTTACTTATTTTTCATTTGAGTTTTTAACCTAAAATCTAGTGAAATTAAGCCCAAAACTGATTTCTGAACATTTCCTAATTTTCTGATTTTTTTTGGAATTTTTCCGAATTTTTCTCAAATTTTTTTATTAATTAATTTTTTTGAAATTTTTAATGTTTTAATTTTTTTGAATATTTTTATTAACAAAATAAAGATTTCGGACCGGATCCCTCACCCGATCCGACCCAGCTATCTGACATGATTCTCAAACCCACCATGAACCTCTTTTTATACCTTTCTTTCCTGATTTTTTTTATTTCTCTTCCCCCCCCCCCCCTTTTTCTCTTTTTTTTCTTTTTCTTCTTTTTTTTTTAAATTTTTTATTCTCCTTTTGTTTTCTCCTGCCAGGATGTCTTCTTGCGGACGTCCTATGCTTCTTCACCGTGAATGTCATTCCACGAGTCTACGCTCCTATCCTTTCTTCGCCTCCGACCATCGGCGTGTGTCGCCACCGCCAACGACCACCGCCAGCCTTACATTTTCGCCGCCGGCCATCACAAACCACGGGACCGTCGGCTAACTCCGACCAGAAAAAACGACACCGGCTACCAAACACCGATATTGACTTCGGTTTTTTATATCTCCAAATCTCAACCAAATCTAAAACTCTAAATCTATATTCACATAAAACACACGAAATGTAACGCCCCCACCTCGGGGTCATTAACGTGACGTTCCGTTCATTATTATCTTTCTTTACACACAAGTGGAAGCATAATTTCGGGACAATCACATTCAGAACAACAGCGGAATTTAGACAAGCAGTATCATGAGCAAACCTTATGTTTACAGTGCATGCAAACATATTTTAACAAGCCCTTCGGGCCATGGCAAACAACACATATTTCACAGGCATATTCTAGAGGCTTATCCGTTCCTAGCCGACTATGAATAGCAAAACTCGACTTGGGTGGTCCTATCCCCTCTACTTCGTCTTCTCACTTCTAACTCCATCCACATCTCCTCCCCGCTTTCCGTCCGCATGGCTGATCTACACCCCACCCGTGGCATGCCCCGGAGCCGGCCTGCCTACACCGCCAAAAGGTCCATTGAACCCACGTAGGGGTCCAACCCATTCTCCGTCAGTGTAGCCATGCCATGCTACGTACAGGTGAGGCACCAAGTCCGTTAGGCCCTCATCGACCATCACATACGTCGTGATCCGGCGGTAGGCTCGGCCTTTTCGGGCATCTATCACGGTGAGCACTTCGGCTCTCTTTTCCACGGGGTTGCCGAACCGGGTCGGGGGAGACGCCATTCTTCGGACCTGAAAAGGAAACAACGGGGGATGAGTCGGGGAGACTTAGCAAGTAAACCTACTAATATCGAGCGAGGACGGGGGGATTGCCGTTAGCACAAGTCGGCCCTTACCGTACCTGCATTGATGGTAGATCAATAGCAAAGTTCATACACGAAAACATCAAGCATGGCTACAACATGTGCACCTTGCCATTCAAGTCTCGGTTCTATCTCCAAAACAAACGTCAAACACGAAACATGATTAAATCGAGAAATGAACCAACTACAACCAACCAAACGACCGAGAAATGGTCCAAGCAAACCGTGTCACAACGTATCACAACATCCTTTCCCGATATTAGGAAGTTTACTTACACAACGACTAACAAAACTAGAGAACGAGTTAGAGACGGGCGAGCTCGGGTGATCTTCGGGCTTTCTCCTTGCTTGGCCGACTAATACGAGGCACACAAAGGCCAAACCGTGGGCTCTTGGGTGGAAATGAGGAGAAACACGGGCCGGTTTGGGACTTCTAGGGCGTGAGGTTTCTCGGGCCAAAACGTGAGAAAATCAAGAAACAAAAGGGAGAGGAAGATGGTGGATGCTGTTGGCGTGAGAGTGGCGTGAGAGTGGCGTGAGAATGAGGAGAGAGAGAGATGGCCGTGTGTGTGAAAAGGGGGGGGGGGGGGCTTCTCCTATTTATAAGACTCCAAACTTGCTCCTCACTCAAGACCATTAATATTAGTCATGATGATGGTGCCTCAAAGTCCAACTAATTAATGCAAGTCATGATGAAGGAGGCCTCAAAGTCTTCGTTTATTTATTGTATATCATCATGATGGGAGGCCTCAAAGTCCAAGCTAATTAATATGGCTTGGAGAAGAAGATTTGACTTGGTCCAACCTTATCTTCTACTTCATTCTACAATTTTCCAAACCGTGAAGCCGATCTAAGTCTTCAAATATCACCAAAAGACATTAAGTCGAGATTTCAACGTTCTCATATAGAAATTGATAAATCTTTGAAATCTGACAAAACCGGACAGCTTTGCACTGTTCACGAAATCGGACTTGAAAACATAGTAAATGGACTCCAAAAATTCTCAAATTTGAATATGTCATAAACAGGGCCTTAAAAAACATTTCTCATGAAGAATACAAAATCGGAATCTTTCTGTAAAGACAATTTTTAGTAACTCAAAGACAGACTAAAAACAGTTCACTGGAACAGAATTCTTGTTTCTCAAAGTAAGCTCTTTCTAGAATTCAAATCATCTCTAAAAATTCCCAAATTTATATATGTTATAGAAAAAGAAGTTCTCAACAACTTTTGTGAAGGAAACTTTTCCAAAATCGGCCAAGAAAAGCTTGTAAAAAATAAAGAAAGTGTGAACATCACCGAAATAATCATTCTGTGCAGTTTTACACTATCCGGAAATTAGGCTGTCGTACTACTCATATCAAGTCCAAAAATTCTGAAATTAAAGTATGTAAAACTTCAAGATGTTTGGAGAAACTTTCAAGAAGGAAGTGTTTGGAAATTCCGATCATAAAAGTCTACACAAAAATAACAAAACGAAGGGGTACAAATGATCCGAAACTAGATTTTCCAGAACAAGAGTAAAAAATTGGTTCCAATTGGAAAACTACCAAACTTAAACTATAGCCATTTTTCAGGGACTGAAATTGAGGATGTTACACGAAACAAGGATGGGAAATTGACCACGGCAGCCTCTTACCACAGGCATTGCTCCGACGAGAGGAGTGAGTCGCCAGAAGGTGCTCGTCCACGGCCGACAACGGGGATCAACAAGTATGCCACGAAATCATACAAAAACAAAGAGGCAGTCACCATTCGATAAACATGAGAATTAACCGAGCATAAAAATCGATTTCCAAGCATCGATTCAGCAAAACTCAATTCGGTTCTTCATTCAAACATTTCGTTGAACAGTTGATGTGCAAGTTGAGATATACGCTCTAAAGTGAGATTCAACGCGATCTTCGGTTCGGTTGTGGTGTATGAAGACCTAAACCAGCATATTTCATATCAGCTCGATCTCAGTTTACCATATCTCACTCAAACTTTTCGCAATCAAACTCGGTGCTCTAAGTATCTAATATCTCATTCAGGCATTTCGACGAACAGTTAGCATGCGACTAAGAATGTGAGGTCTGAATCTGACCTCAATGTGATTCTTGGCCTAAACACGATACGTACAGACCCAAGTCGTCATTATACATTACGATCCAGCTTCGGTATCACATTATTGGGTCACGACACCACCGAGTGAACCCGGTACGTGAGTCCACCGAGATGCAAGAGAAAACAGGGGATACACGAGAAGCTCACCTGGTTCGAAATGGCCGGAACGATGCGCGACGGCTGGCAGACTGGCTTTCGACAATAACGACGGTGGTTCAAGCCAACCACCGGTGAATGGGAACGATTTGTGACTCCCTCTCTCTCGGTCTCCATCTTTCCCCCTTTAGAGACCTGGACATTGAGAAGCTTCATTTTCTCCTTCCCCTCTTGATCATAAGAACTGACACTCCTCCTCAATGATACTATCTCGGACTTCAAGGCAACGACTTCATTCTCCAACGAAACTCTGACGGATAATGCTCTCTCCCTTTCCTCTTCCTCAAGGTCTGCACTTGTCCGTTACGCTTCGCATGCTTTCTTGTGGTTAAAGCTTTAGATCTTAATCTTATCTAGCTGTTACTCGAGGAGCTTCACGGCTTGTCTGAGGGCATTTCGTTTTTCTTCTAGCTTCGAGTATTTGACCTTCCACGCTCAGCAACAGACGTTCTTCGGCTTCCCTTTTCAGTGAAACATTTGCTGCCATTGCAGCTACCGCAAGTGAAGAACCGCCGCCAGTTCAGCCTCCGATCCACCCCAGAAGAAGCGGTGCATTCATGGAAAACCCTCAAGGCTTGCCCCTCTCTGTTTCTTCTTTTTCCAGCCCTAAACGGCGCCTCTCCTTTGGGACCACGGGCACGTCTGACATCTGCTCCTGGACGCGCGAAGACGGACGCTGCTGCTGCGTGATGCTCGTCCCCGTACCAGCCTTAGCAGAGAAACGGTAAAGGGGGAAAGGGACTGAATAGTGCGGGCCGGGCCGAAGGGGAAAGGGGATTGGGCTGGCCCGCGCGAGAAAAAGAAAAAAGGTAATGAGACCAGGCCGGGCTGATCCGGTCCACTCGAACCGGGTCGGACTGGCCCGGATTTTTTATTTTGATTTTTTGCCGATTTTTTTTTAATTTTTTTAAACAAGAAAAATATGTCTAATAGACTCCATTAATGCAAATACACCTAATGTCTATATGCCATGTAATTTAATGAAAATATTTTTATTTAGTTTTAACCCCTAATTTTATATGCAATGAAACCCTAAATGGATAATCAAAATTTAGGTGTCAACAGCAATTCATTGCACCATCCCCTCGTCGCATGATAAAATTTCAGAACTTCTCTAATGACATGCAGAACTAGGAAATGCGTGTTTGGTTTAAGTTTGGAGAGTTTCTTGGAAAGCTTCATCTCATCTGACATTATGGGAAACGTGGTGTCCGCCGATTTTTATGAAACTAGTGATGGAAAGGACAAAGTATTTTGTAGATGAGACTTGCTAAGTCGGCAATAAGACACTCTATTCAAATCTAGCCACGCGTACCAACGGGTCCCTCCTCTCTCTCTCTCTATCTTATTTTTCCCTCTTCTCCTCCGTTACGTTACCCAAGCACTGTCACGCCCCGATCCCCACGGGCACATGTCATCCCGCCACGGTCGGTTAGAATGCGACATCCCAGGACTTGTCGCCGACTCAAAGGAACAAATTTATAAAGAGCAACACATGCGGAAGCAAATCGAACTCTCCATACAACGTACATTAAACGGGGAAGTAAAGAGACATTGGAAACTTATCAACAAAGCACTTTTATAAACATAGTATTACTTACAATTTCACATCATCCACGCCTTACTAGAGGCCGTCGCTACGAACCACGCACATTCAAAAAGGGTCGAGTGGTTGTGTTAGCCTAACTTCACTACTCAAAAGATGCACGCATCGGAAGAGAGTACTAAACTGATCAATCACCCCCATGATGGCCAGGCGGCATCTTCGGATCAGACTCAAAAAACTCCGGCGAACCCGGATCCGCCATGTCGTCGGACGGCTCAAGCTCGGACTCCCCAAGCGACTACTCGGGCTCAGACTCTATCGGCTTCGAATCCTCAGGGCCGGTGTCCGGGCTAGTGACAACACCGTCTGGTGGCATGATCTCCATGGGGTCCCATCCCTCTACTCCATTGTCCAGGGGACCATTAAACCCTCGCAATGGTCCAAACAAGGCATCTCCCTCCCGGTAAAACCACGCTAAAAAGGTATGGGATTTCCAAGCGGCCTCACCCTCGTCTACCCATACCGTACTAGAGTGCTTAATATAAACTTTATCCTCTCCGACTGGGAGCTCCGTCAACATATGGTCCATGTCCATAGGGACTCCAAAACGTTGCGGAGGGCCGTTGAGGTCCATGGTCAAGGGTCTGAAAGGTTTAGGGAACAATAATGAGAATAATCTCAATAAGTCACTACCTAAGCCTCGCTTAGGCTAACGCGTACCGCAGGACAGTTCAGAGCATGCAAGTTAATCACTCAACGTGCCACAACAATCACAGGCATCCTTACCTCGCCTTGGCGCACACACAAGCCCTGCACGTTAGTAAACCACTCAATGAATATCACGACCCGAATCAAGGCAAGAACATGCATAGCACGCCTAATCATCCAGACATACCCAACAACAATCTCAACACAGCATATCACAATTACAAGGTCCAAATTATTAACGGCCCCTCGGGATCGTCGAACCCGCGTAAAACGCATCAGGCCATAGGGCTTCTGGCATAACTGGGCATTGTTCCGCTACGTCGACGACGGCATCGTCCCGCGTCACACGCATCAAGACAGTATTCCATGAGGAGCATCAATCTAGCCTCCATCGCGATTGGCATCCGATAAATTGGGCATCTTCTCGCGTAAAACGCATCAAGATGGGTTACAATCCCGCGTAAAACGCCTCAGGGTATTAAGTAAGCATACGGGCATTCAACACTCAAATCAATTTCTCATCTTTCAATTAGCCAATTGCCACACAATTTATGTTCAACTTACATCCAGCCACGCCCCTCACGCGCAACAACAACATTGAAAAGCTCCCGAGAGAGAGAAACCAATTTGCACAGAATCGGGCTAAAAATAGGCAATTGCGTAGTAACCGAAATCCTTTCGAAATAAATAGTAATTCAACTTCAAAAATTACGAATTTTGGATATGTTATCGGAAACATTTTGATAAACATTTTTCATGAAGGGCACGAAATCCAGTTCGAACTGAAAATGGTTCATTTTGTCACTCAAAATCAGACTGAAATCCACCCGCCAGGACAGACTGTCCGGCCTTCAAAATCCATTTCAATCAGCACCCAAATCTCCTTGGAAAACTTGAAATTTTAATATGTAATAGACACAAGTGTCCTTGACAACTTTCATGAAGGAAGTTTGTTGAAAGAGGTCTGAAAAATTTTATAAAAATTTAGAAAGACACGCCGGTCGGGTGAACAGTAAATCCAACAGAGTTGTGACAGTCCGAAAATGGACCTCCGAATGCCCCCAAACGTGCCCCAAAAATTCCAGATTTAATATATGACATACTTCAAGGTGTTAGGGAAAACTTTTATGAAGAACACCTCCTCAAATTCGACCCACCATGACCTCCACCAAAATAACAAAATAACAGGGCACCTCAGCAATCAACCTATGAACCAATTTAGCAACAATCAATCATCAACAAAGCACAACTAGCCATCAAACCAATTCTAAACAACCCCTAATCAGCCCCTAAACATGCCATTGATACTTCATTGTCCTAATAAAGTCTTAGAAAGTACTTACTAGGAGCCTAAGCTTAAGATAAGCAACATCAGCCAAGCAAAGCCAAGTCCAGCAGCTGCTGTTCCGGCGTCCGGACGGGAAGAATGGCGGCGGCTCCGGTCATGGCGTTCCACGGCTGAGGCGAGCACAAGATGGTGGTCACGGTGAGGGGTGGTGTTGGCTTCGGTGGTGGCTGGTGGTGTCGGAAAAACGGCAAGGAAAGAGGGAGAAGGAAGAGGTGGTCGCGTGAGCGCAGGGATCGGCAACCGGTGGTCGCCGTCTCCGGGTGTGGCCGGCAAGGAACGGCCGGAGCGCATCAGCACAAGGTGGAAGGGGAGATGGTGCTCGGCCGAAAATGGAGGAGTGAGAGAGAGAGAATGAATGAGAGAGAGAGAGAGAGAGAGAGAGAGAGAGAGAGAGAGAGAGAGAGAGATGATCATCATCCTACTAACCCCACTACAAAACCCCATCACCCACCCCACTCACAAATCCAATGGCTCAAAATCTATTCTCTTCCCCAAGCCAAGATCCAATGGCCCATATAATTCCTCACATTAATTTCCCAAAATTCACAAATGGCACACAAAATAAAAAAACAAGATGGAGAGGGGCATAATGGTCCATGATTTTCGGCCAAGGAGGGAAAGTGCCAAATGTCCAAATTGCCTTCAACCTTTGAAATGAATTCAAATATCCTCAGGGGTAAAATGGTCTTTTTCCATATCCTGTCCAAATTACACTTTTTTGACAATTCCGCGCGTTTTAATAGTTGGCCACGCTTAATGAGACGACGTCCGATAAATTTTCGTGAAATCTCAAAAGTTCAAAATCCCATTTCGGATTCTAATTCACAGCTAAACCAATCAATCGCGACTTTAGTGTATCTCAAACTAACGGACAGCTTTTAGGAGTTACGCATATCGACTCGTAGCCAATTCGATATCATGCCACATTTAAGTTTACTCGAGCCATGGTGACCTCGATTGTCATGTAATTGCGAGGATTAATCACTAGTTCCAATTGATGCGATCGTTCGGATAAGGTTTAGGATCGTTCGAAATTCATAAAATGGTCAAGCGGAATCACCCGCGATCCAATTGTATAACATTTGCGAATCGTTCCATAGCCATCCTTAGATCGGTCTATAATGGCAAAAAATATCTCCTCGTCAATCTTTATGGTCGAAGTGTTGGGTCACGGCCAAGTTTTTAGGTCCACGTACTTGATTCCTAACTAGCCATTTCTTAATGGTTAGTCTTCTCAAGAGTGATTAATTCTGAGTGAGATTTAACTAAAGTGTATCGATGAGATAATCATTTTATAAATCTCGAAAATGGGTTGAATTTCAGAATGTCACACGCACGCTGGGGACACTCCCTCTCTCCTTTCTCTCCCTTACTTTTCCATCATCTTCTTCTTTTCCTTTTCTAAAAAATTCGGAGAAGGCACACAACGGATAGGAGCCACAGTTTTCGCGAGCGACGTGGTTAATCACCCGCTTCCCGTTACCGATTCGAAAAGTAGACATTCTCTTCTTCTTTTTTTCAATTTTGTTTTTTTAAATAAAATTTTAGCTTTCTTTAGCATTTTAATCTAATTTAAATAAAATTTGAAGAAGAAAATAATAAAAAATTTCACATAGCAGAGAGAAATTAATTTAAAAACGCTACGTCATCATTTTTCGATAGAAAAATTAAGGCTTAATACCACGAAAAACCCCAAACTGGTACACCTGTGACAAATTTACCCCAAACTATTTTTTTGACCACAAAAAACCCTAAATTGGTACACCTGTGACAATTTTATCCCGAACTATTTTTTTAACCATCAAAAACTCCACACTGGTATACCTGTGACAATTTTACCCTCGAACTTATTTTTTGGCCACCAAAAACCCAAAACTGGTACACCTGTGACAAATTTACTCTCCGTTAGTTTCCGTTAAATTTTACTGTTAAATTGTTAAGTTTAATGACACGTGGTAATTGACATGTGTACCGATTTTGAGTTTTACCCCTATGTTTGTCACAAGTTTATCAATTTGTAATTTTTTGTGATATTAATATAATTTAACGGACACTAACAGAGGGTAAATTTGTCACAAATGTACTAGTTTGGGGTTTTTAGCGGTCAAAAAATTAGTTCGGGGGTAAAATTGTCACAGGTGTACCAGTGTGGGGTTTTTGGTGGTCAAAGAAATAGTTCGGGGTAAAATTGTCACAAGTGTACCAGTTTGGGATTTTTGGTGGTCAAAAAAATAGTTCGGGGTAAATTTGTCACAGGTGTACTAGTTTGGGGTTTTTTGTGGTAAAAAAAATAGTTCGGGGTAAAATTGTCACAGATGTACCAGTTTAGGGTTTTTCGTGGTATTAACCCAAAAATTAACGGTGTTAAAGAAAGAACTTAATTGTACTTTTTGAAAGTTTTAAGAGTTAATTGTACTTTCGTGACAAATACTAGGACTTTTAGTGTACTTATCTCAATAAATTAACTAAAAGTTTTAGACTTGAAATGCACTACCGTGATAAATTTTAGGACTCCTATGATAGTTGTCCCAATTAAAATTGGGGACCAAGGTCAACAGGGACTTTCATGTGCTCTTTTATTTTTTGTATTTAAGATTCACTAGTCACGTTGCCCGTGTTGCACGCATAATTTTATTGGCTATTGCTTAAAAAGCAAGTCAATAGAAGATTACAAATAGATTGGTGACATCGCAAATGTAATATTCGTTCTTCTCATGTAACGTCCATTTTTAACTTAATTTTTCTTTTGCTATAAGTTCTCTAGATAAACAATTATTGGTTAAATGAATCAGACTATAAAAACCTTTTTCTCCGTAGTTGTTTCTCTCTATGGAAAAAAAAAATCAATTGCGGATTAACGTGGTACAAATAATGACTATAAAAACCTTTTGCAAAGGGTAAATTACATGCTCTTTCGGGATAATATTATTTTTTCCCGTCGGTTTGTGTTCTATTCTCTTCCTTAACAAACCGAACATCGCTGTAGTGTTTGCATTAGCATGACGCGAAATTTTGGACAGAAAAATAAAAGGGAAAAAGGAGTAGATATTTCATTGGAGCATTTTTGAAACGCTGCTATAAAATCTAAGTGATTCTTTTAGTTTATAGATATAAAATTCTGGCACGTTATTTTACGAATCATTTTAATTTATCAAATCTCTAGTATTATACTAAATAGATCACTCTAAAACTCAATTAGATTAACTCCGAGTGAGCAGCCCATCGAATTAATAAGAACTTAAGTTCACTTATGACTATTAAGGCACATTGGTAAAAAGGAAATAAAGGCAAAGAAAGTAAAAAGAGAAAATAGAGGGCGGGGGGAAGGGGGTCTAATCGTCTCATTTGATCTTTAGAAAATATTCAGTGGTTGCTAAGCACCACGTCATCAACTTACGTGGCGTTCATATTCCACCCAAAAGACGACACGTGTCGCTTGACATGGCAATGGAAGGAAGCCCTTTTGTCTCTCTCCTCTGGCTGGTTGGTGGGGAAAGTACTGACCACAGTAAATATTTATTGCCTCTGCGTTCTCTCTCCTCTCTCCTCCTCTCTCCTTTCTGTGACGTGAAGGAGGTCCTTTTCTTTCTCTTCTGCAACCCATTCTCTCTTCCTCTCCCGAGCTCACTCGAAGCCCTCCCCTCCTTCTTCTTCATCACCTTCGGCCTCGCCTTTCCGACTCCGGCTCCAGAAACTGCTTGGAGAAAGCCCCTGGATCGGGTTACGATTTCGAGCTCGGACGATTTTGATGGAGAAGTGATTTCCTTTTGGTGGCTAAAAATTGAATCTTGACTTCCCAAACACACTGAAATTCCAGTGCAGACGCTCATTCTCATCGGCTTTCGTAGCTTCATCTGCTAAACCCATCTTCTCTCTCGCTCGCTTGCTTGCACTTTCTGAGTTGGGCATGGTTGACCCAATCTCGAGTCAACTGGAAATTATAGGCGAACTCAAGTGTTCTATCTGATGAATCTGCCATATCCAGACGAAAAAGAAGAGAACTTCTCTCCGTTTTTCTCAATAGCAGCTTCAGCTTCTGATAGTTCTTTCTGCTTTCTGCCAGATGTTCTGATCGTTTGATTTGAAATCCATAGGATTAATCGACTCGAGATGGATTGATTTCTTTATTTTTTGGGATTCGTTCATATTTGTTTAGCGAGGTTGTCGCATTTGAGTTTGAATCAATGCTGGATAGACTCGTTGACATATTTAAAAAAAAATTGGAGTGTGAACCCTTTACTTATTGCTGTTCAGTTATTGGGTTTGTCTATTAGAGAATTGATTACTGTGTTGTTGATCTTTTGCAGCTTGCTTGAGATATTATTTTATTGAAGTAGTTCGAATTAGTTGATTCAGAAAAGGAGATGACGCTCTGCTATGAAGTCCTCTTTTTCGTGTGGTGTATATCCTCGTCCTCCCGAATCTATATTCTATGCTGGTGCGTTGGGATTGGTCTTTCTTTTTACGTTATTTCGTGCTTATTGGTTGGAGATGTGCTACATTATGCCTTGATTCCACCTCTAGAAAAACATGACAAACATTTGAGGGAGAGGGGAGGGGGGTTGCCAATGGCACCTCAAACTAGCATGACGATGAATTGCGATATGAATCATAAAAACGATCCATTTTTTGGATATCCAGATCTCGCTCTGAAAACCCATCTGTTGCAAGTCGCAACTACGTTATCAACAACAATCCTGAGCTATGCTATTGAACAACTATGAGGGGACTCCATTTTCTATTGAAGCTCCCTTCATGATGGGTGCTTACTGAAACTCCAGGACAAGAAGGGAAGCCATTGCATTAGGACATAAATCATATATGTTGAACGACTTTCATAGCCACGACAATGGAAAAGAATATTTTTTCAAGTGAAATGAATGGATAGACGCGCTCCGTATACATAGAAATAAAACATAATATACATGCTGATACAACAGTTTGATCATTAATCTTAGCCTTCATGAAATGGATAGAAATCTCACAAGCTTCTAACACAAGCAGAGTTTGGTAACTCAAGCCATTTCAGAATGGAAGTGGCTAAGGTAAAAGAACTTAATTTCATATAAATCTGCCACGCAGTATCTTTTTACACGTAAAGAATGAATAGAATGTTGTGAGAGACTTAATCCGTTCCTTTCCATCTTCCCTGCAAAGCCTATGATCAGATCTACGAGCCTCTTCAATGCCGGCTCTACAAAGAACAGCTTGACAATCTCTAGCATTAGACACAAAGTGGTTGCCCCTTCTAATCAACCCAGTTACACAGCATGAGCTGCCTCGTGATTCCTCATTCAAAAAATCCAAATCAGTCTTCTGGTAACCGTCTCTGTTTCATCCTAGTCTCTTCTCACCACTTCATCTATGATGTACTTACTCAAGTCGGCCAACTCAGTAGCGATTGCACCTCTATGCCCATCAAATATACCAAACAACGCCTGCATATTGAAAGTAGCAGAATCAGGTTAGCGTCCTTGCACGTTGAAGAGGGCTATAATGAACTGAACTGACTATAATTCCTTTCAGAACAAAACTTTTCTCAAGTTCATTACCGTTTCTTCGATTCTAGCTTTGACGACTTAAGCCAGTTTCCTAAGCTTCCAACCAAATTCTTTCTGGTGATCACAAATACAAATGACATCTCATCTGAATCATTCTAGAACAGTCGCATAAATTGTTAAGCTATTCACAAACCAACCCGTCATCATGATTAAGAAGAAGCTCTGCCAGAAAAAAACAGAAAAATTTACCTGCTTGCTATTCCCCGGATACCCATGGAAGCAGAATACCGATCCTCCATAGCCGCCGTCGCCGGAATCCCAAAGCTACAAGAGAGAGAAAGAGAGAGAAAATGGGTTTAAACAGAGTACCCATACTCCTCTCTCTCTCCTCCATTACAAATCCCCACGGCCGTCGACGGCGTCGCCGGAATCCCAAAGCTACGAGCGAGAGAGCAAGCGAGCGAGAGAGAAGATGGGTTTAGCAGATGAAGCTACGAAAGCCGATGAGAATGAGCGTTTGCACTAGAATTTCAGTGTGTTTGGGAAGTCCAGATTCAATTTTTAGCCGCCAAAAGGAAATCACTTCCCCATCAAAATCGTTCGAGCCCGAAATCGGAACCCGATCCAGGCAGTTTCTGGAGCCGGAGTCAGAAAGGCGAGGCCGAAGGTGATGAAGAAGAAGGAGGGGAGGGCTTCGAGTGAGCTCGGGAGAGGAAGAGAGAATGGGTTGCAGAACGAGAAAATATTCAGTGGTTGCCAACCACCACGTCATCGTCCTACGTGACATGCATGAACCACTAAAAGTTCGACACGTGTGCGGTGACATGGAATTAAAAAATTAAATCCGGAACCTCTATTTCTTTTTCTCTTTCTCCTCTCTGAAGAAAACTGACACACGCAATATTTATTATCTTCTCTCTCTTCCCTGTAACTCTTTTCTAGATGAGGAGGTCCTCCTCTCTCTCAAATTTCACTCCCTCTCTCTGCGTCCGAAGACACGCTCCCTTGGGCTCCGGCACGTTGCCTCCGCCGTTCTCGCCACGAGCCCCGTCGGCTGCTTCGATTCCGCTAGGAGCCCCATTGCTGCTGGCTTTGGAGCCCCGTCCGCCTCCGGTACTTCGGCTCAGATCCGCCTCCGGCGCGTTGCGACTCTTTTTCTCGTGGCTTTTGGCTTCCAAAGCTGGTGTGACTTCTCCTTCAAGACCATGGGTACTTTTACTGTCAGCTCCCACCAGAAAACCTCCCTCTCCTTCAAAACCATGGCATCTTGCACTCCATGGGTGAGGCCTTCAAGCTCTCGGTGTTGCATTTCGGGGTTTCTTGAGGTTTCGCTGACTTGGGTATAAAAAGTCCGCTTCTGTGTGTGGGCATTTGGCCTTCTTGGGGTGTCAAAAATCGTGTCTTTATTGGCAAAATCAGTTCTGAGAGGGAATGAAGATTCATAGTAGTGAACTGAAGACATAATATGTCTTTGGTTTTAAATTATGTTGATGAACCCAAGGTTTAGGTGGCGGGATCTTTGGAGGCATTGGTCCAGGAATGCTAATCTAGAAATGCCTCTGCATCAGCAACAAAACCCCCAAATGCCCAAAACCCTCACTCCTTGCACCAATAGGTGGTTCGAGGGGTCACAGTGGTCAAGGACATGAAGATGAGCACGCTCACAACAAGAGGACATCATCGCGCAAAAGGCCGAGGAAATGCCTACTCTCGCTCTCTATGGCAGTCGTGTAGCTGCTGAGCGGCGAGGTGACGAGCATGATGCAAGACGGCAACACGAGTCCGTGGTGGGAGAAGAAGCCGTGGATGAAGTCGAAGGTGTTGTAGCTGGAGGAGCAGCAAGTGAGCTACCAGCTGCAAGCTTTCGAGCTCAACAAGGCAGCGGCTGAAGTGGGTGAAGTTCAATGGCAAGAAGGAAAGGGAAATGGAGAGAGCCAAGCTCGAGAACGAGAGAATGGTGCTTCTCATCCGCCAGAAGGAGCTCGAATTGCTCAATCCTCAACAGCAACAACAACATTCATTCAACAAATGGAGTGAACCGTCCTCGATCACAGGATAATTTTTACATTATCTAAGATAGAGTAGAAACAACGAACTGGTTATTCTTGATCTCAGTATTTCTATATGAATTCAACTGTTTAGCTGTTTTCTTTAAAATCCTCTTCTTTACGACCTCATTGCACACTCAGTTGCTTCACTTAGCATAGACATGTGACTACCTATGGTACGAATGTTTGCCAGAGTGGTATATATCTCTAGTTGCAAATGTACATACACTCAGTCACATTCAAGGTACTTTTGATGTTGTAACAATTTGAGTACCTATCTCAATTTAGTATGCCGATGGCCAACTCTAACTTTTCAAGATGCTGAGCATAATCAATAATTATAAATCTTTTTTCTGGTAAGCTCTAACTTTGAGCATAATTAATAGTTATGAATCTTTTTCTGATAAGCTAAGTTCCAGCTCAATAAGCCAAAAAGTTGAAAATGGAAAAAAGGGGCCGTGAAAATATGCTTCCTTGCAGGTGAAACATGATAGAGATAGAAAGACAATTTTCTGGCAAAGTGAAGTGGTGATGCTGTTGGTTTGTTCAGATCACAAGCATATGTGCTGAAATGGGCTGTCCATCACGCTCCCGGTTGAGTTTATAGCATGGATTCTGTTGTAGCAGCTAAATTTGAAGCAACAATTTCGGATTTATGCTGACTTATACAATGCCAAAGTTTCATAAACTTCACAATCACGACGTCAAAATTGAGATACCAAGCTAACGATTTGTACAGATTCCTGTGCAAGTATAGAATTAGTGTTGTTTCCGTAGTTGCACCATGCATGTCCATCATATCTTCAGCTTGTTGCGATCCCCAACTGAAGCTAGACATTGACAATGATAGGGTGGCAGTCGTTGCAACAGTGTGTGCGCATGGCCTTCCATTGCATCTCTGCCTTCTCTATTTTCTCAAGCATATTTGAAGGGCTTTTACAATATTAAAATAGCTAAAACGAGTCTTGCTTCACCGAGTTAATCAGAATTTGGTTTTATCTTGGCATTCAGGAACAACATCGGTCTTCTTTTGCACAGTTCATGCTCTTCCTTCTTGATTTTGCCAATAAAGACACGATTTTTGACACCCCAAGAAGGCCAAATGCCCATATACAGAAGCGGACGTTTTATACCCATGTAAAAAAAAAATACCCAAGTCAGTGAAACCTCAAGAAACCCCGAAATGTAACACCGAGAGCTTGAAGGCCTCACCCATGGAATGCAAGATGCCATGGTTTTCAAGGAGAGGGAGGTTTTCTGGTGGGAGCTGACAGTAAAAGTACCCATGGTCTTGAAGGAGAAGTCACACCAGCTTTGGAAGCCAGAACCCACGAGAAAAAGAGTCGCAACGCGCCGGAGGCGGATCTGAGCCGAAGTGCCGGAGGCGGATGGGGCTCCAAAGCCAGCAGCAATGGGGCTCCTGGCGGAATCGGAGCCGCCGACGGGGTTCGTGGCGAGAACGGCGGAGGCAACGTGCCCGAGCCGAAGTGCCGGAGGCGGATGGGGCTCCAAAGCCAGCAGCAATGGGGCTCCTGGCGGAATCGGAGCCGCCGACGGGGTTCGTGGCGAGAACGGCGGAGGCAACGTGCCCGAGCCCAAGGGAGTGTCTTCGGACGCAGAGAGAGGGAGTGAAATTTGAGAGAGAAGAAGGACCTCCTCATCTAGAAAAGAGTTATAGGGAAGAGAGAGAAGATAATAAATATTGCGTGTGTCAGTTTTCTTGAGAGAGAGAGAGAGAGAGGAGAGAGAGGAAAAGAAATAGAGGTTTCAGATTCAATTTTTTAATTTCATGTCACCGCACACATGTTGAACTTTAAGTGATTCACGCATATCACGTAGGATGATGACGTGGTGGTTGGAAACCACTTGATATTTCTCGTTGCAGAAGAGAGAAAGAAAAGGACCGCCTTCACGTTACAGAAAGGAGAGAAGAGAGAGGAGAGAGAACGCAGAGGCAATAAATATTTACGGTGGTCAGTATTTTCCCAACAACCAGCCAGAGGAGAGAGACAAAAGGACTTCCTTCCATTGCCATGTCATGCGACACGTGTCGTCTTTTGGGTGGAACATACGCGCCACGTTGGCTGATGACGTGGTGCTTAGCAACCACCGAATATTTTCTCAAAACCCCTCAAAAACACGGCACGGAGAGAGACGGGGGAATAGAGAAAGAAGGGTCGAGGAGAGAGAGAGAGAGGGGAAGAGCGACGACGGTGGATTGCAGCCCGTCGAAAGGGTCGAGCTACGCGAGAAATCTCCATTTTCGAACACCAGGCAAGAGATTTTAGCTCCACTTCGCACGAATTTGGGATTTTTGTTTGAAAAGTTAATATCCGGATCTATTTAGGGTTTTTGCTTCACCGGCGACGGTTCGGCCAAAATCCAACCATATTTTGATTCCCCACATCTAGGTTCGAGAGAAACGAACTCTCGAAGTCCGCTCTGCGCTGCAGGTGAACAGTGTGTGCCGCCCGACTTCTTGGCTAAGCCACTTTTCGGGGCGGCAACCTGTCAAATCTTGTAATTCTAGAATTCATTATTTTCTTGAGAAGGTAGTCCGCAATTTCCAAATTGTATTTGAGTTGATTGGGTCTTTCTTGTCCCCGAGAACAGCGAACTATCTTTGGGTCGTTGAATAGCTTACCCATTAAAGCTATTTTACAGCTTTAGTACTTGTGGACGGTATTATTTGTTTGAGAGTAATGCTATGCGTGCTAAGAAAACATACAATATGCTATATGATCGGGGGTACACTCTCTTTGCTTGTAGCTTGTTGATCAGGTTGACAAGATGCCGCCACTTGAAGATGTAGCCTGGAAATTCGTGATTAGAAAGGGCAAGAAATGGCGATGTCCTTACTGCGAAATTGAATCCTCTGGAGGAGTTACAAGAGTGAAAAGTCACCTTCTTAAACTGCCAAAAGGAGGGATTTCCATTTGCAAAAAAGTGCCAGAGCCCATAAGCTCACTAATGGATTGGTTAGACAATGAGGTGGGTTTAGTACTTGTGCTAGCTAAATTATTTACTTGAGAATAATGCTATGCGCGGTAAAAAAGATATACAAAAGATTGGGATACTAGCTGATGGGGTGCACTCTATTTGCTTGTAGGTTCGTAACAAAGACGATATAGCCTGGAAATTAGTCAATAGGCTGGCGGACAACAAATGGCGTTGTCATTACTGCAGTGAAGAATTCTCTGGAGACCTTGCAGGAGTGAAAGGTCACTTGCTTAAAGTCCCAAATGAAGGGATTTCCGCTTGCACAGAAGTGCCAGACCACGTAAGAGAGCTGATGCTGTCGTTACTTGACGAGGTGGCTGAAGAAGAGAGCAGAGAGGTGGCTGAAGAACAGGGCAGAGAAGCCAATGGTCAATCGTCCACGGAACCACAATCACGTGACACGCTGATTCAAGCTGAGGTGGCTGAAGAAGAGAGCAGAGAAGCCAACAGTCAATTCTCCGCGGAACCACAGTCATGGGAGGCAGCTCCTTGTTTGTCACCACAAGCCTTCAAACATATGAAACACTTACTCGCAACACCAGAGGGGACAACCGACATGGCAAACCTCACCTCTGACAAACAACAAGGACAGCGTCAATATTATCAGAGTGTAACAATGCCATCACTGGTGCAAGATGGCCATGGTATGTTCATGTGAAGATTCTATACATTCACCTAGGTGTGGAGAAAAAACATTTGTTATATTCTTCAAAGCAAACATGTTGTGCTTTTTAACCAAGTGGCGACTCTTAAATATCTCCGATAAACATGCTTTTCCCACGGGACTTTTCAAATGTGAAGAGAGTCAATCACCTATTACTTAATAACAGTGCATCGAATGCGTTGCACGTGTCCACTGGACCCACTGGATCGAGTAAACTAACTACAACAGGCATTCCCTAGTGTTCCAATTAACCATATCCTAATTTTGATGAACACACAGGTGAAACCATATCATGGTCAACGATGGATTTACTGGACGTAGATTGGTGTCTTCTTAATTCGCCAACTCGTCCACAGTGGTCCATTCCATCTCCGTATCTTGAGCAGCAGACTCCGGCAGGGGCATCATCATTCCAGCATGATGAATTGCTTGCTCTAGGTAATTCAAATTGCTTGCAGGATTGCAATCAGCACTCTCAATTGCAAACTCCAATGGACATAGATCCGTCAATTGCATCACAGCATACGAGTGACTCTCCCATTATTGAGGCAACAATCGTTGATTCGCAAGTTCTAGAGGTGGTAACAAATACAACAGGCCCATTATCATCACAAGGTGTGTCTGGATTAATCTAAATTGTTACCATCGTTCTGTTAGATCCTTAAATATCCCCAGATTATTTTATCGAAATCTAACATATATGTTTTATAAATTAGATATGAACAGGGGTTCTCCAATCATGAACGTACGGAGCATCTATGCCAACGATGAAGAGATAAGAAACCTGAAAAGAAAAGTGAAAGAACTCGACTACAAAGAAGCGGCCATAAATGAGCAGATGGAGATAGAGTCTGCTGCTTCCTCAGTTCGGAAGAAGCCGAGGATATTGGTTGAGAAATGGCTGAAAGAGACGGAAAGAGCAAGAAATAATTCCCAGATAATTGGCCAAACCAATGCGGAAACTTTGCCTCCAAAGGAACAGGTGGAGACATTGACGAGAGAAGTGGAAGAGCTCACAGAACAAACGCTTCCGCAGACACTACTCATAGAGGCGAGAGATGCCAAAGGAGACGCATTTTTGGAACGAAAGCTAATAGGTGAAGCGAGTCATAGGAACATTGAGTTGATTTGGGACCGTTTGAAGGAGAATCATGTGTGCAAATTGGGTATTTATGGAATGGGTGGTGTTGGGAAGACAGCTATTATGATGCACATACATAATAGACTTCTCAAAGATGCAACATTCGATGGTGTGCTTTTTATCACAGTGTCCCAAGATTTCAGCATTTATAAGTTGCAAAGTGATATTTGGAAGGCACTAAAATTAGGCATTATGGAGGATGAGCATGAGAAGAAACGAGCAGCGATGTTGTCGAAGCATTTAGAAAGGAAGAAGAATTGTGTATTGATTCTTGATGATGTGTGGCGGCATTTTAAACTCCAGGATGTGGGAATTCCTGATAGAGCTGGACTTAAGGTGGTCCTAACAACTCGTCTCTCTGAAGTATGTTCTCGAATGGATTGTGAAGAGATTAAAATTCAACCTTTAGGTGAAGAAGAAGCGTGGAAATTATTCGTGGAAGAACTTGGGCCTAAACCGCTAACCAATATACTGCTAACCGATAAACGAGTTGAAAAGGTTGCAAGGAAAATCGCGAATAGATGCGCAGGCTTGCCACTTGCAATTAACACAATGGCAAGTAGCTTTAGAGGAGAGAAGAATTTTTGCGTGTGGCAAGACACATTAAATAAACTGGACAAATCCCATACAAAACACACAGAGATGGGAGATAGAGTCTTGCCAGTACTAACACTCAGCTACGAACGCTTGTCAGACCCTCAAGTTAAACAGTGCTTCTTATTCTGTGCTCTATTTCCAGAAGGTGAAAGCATTGATCAAATGGAATTGATAGAATATTTTATTGACGAGGGATTCCTTGATGAATTGGATACAAGGGACGCACAATATTGCAGGGGTCTTGCCATAGTGGACATGCTTCGAAAAGCTTGCTTGGTGGAAGTTGATTGTGATGGTGACATCAGGATGCATGATTTGATCAGAGAAATGGCATTACACATCAGGGGTACAGCTTATATGGTAAAAGCAGGTTGGGGTTTGCGAAGGATACCGAATGGGGAGTATTGGACAGAAGACTTGGAGAAAGTTTCTTTGATGGGGGGTTGCATCAAGGACATTCCACCAGATATGTCACCAGACTGTCCTAAACTGTCAACTTTGCTATTAAATGAGAGTCTTCAATTGGAAAACGTACAGCGCAAAGATTCTTTCTTCATGAAATTGCAGGGGTTGAAGGTTCTAAACCTAAGTCAATGTGCAATAAGAGAACTTCCAGATTCCTTGTCCGAATTGGTAAATTTGAGAGCATTATTGCTTAGAAACTGTAGATCCTTACTTTGTATTCCTCATTTAAGAAAGCTGAAATTTTTTAGGAAGTTGGACGCCAGGGGATGTTGGTCTCTGGTAGAGGTTCAGGGTTTGGAAGAGTTGAGGAATTTGAGATACCTCGACCTATCTGAAACTGGAATTGACAGATTATTGGAAGGAACATTGAGGAGAATGGTGAACTTGCAATATCTTACAATTGCAGGAACTGTGGAGGCAGAAGAGGTGATACAATTGAAGGCATTGGAGCGTCTAGAGTGCAAGTTTGGCAATGTTGATGATTTCAATAAATATGTGAGGTTTATAGAACGAAGCGATCCCCATCGCGACAGTCTCAGTCTCTTTGTGGATCAAGAAGAGTCATTGTGGTTTGTAACTACACATGTGTATTCTGATCCTCGAAAGTCATTGTGGATCCAGGAAAGTCATTATAAAAGTTACCAAAATGTTGTGCAAATGAGATCTTGCAATTGCGCTATGGCGAGAGTAGGAAAGGAAAGCAATAATGATTCTATATTGATTCCGGGAGATGTGGAGGTTTTTATGGGGAGTAATTGCCATGGTATGGCAAATTTGTCCGGCATGGGCCTACTCCGATGCCTGAAGGTGCTTCTAATATTTAAATGGGACAATTTAATCGTGCTCTTTGGGGGAGATGGAGTAGATGAAGAAGTAGTATGCAACACCCGTGACTTCCCAGCCTTTCTCTTCCCTTCTCTTGAGATGCTTCAAATTGAGGGGTGTTCGAAACTGAAGTATTTGTTTGGGCATGAGTCTGGATTCTCCCTTTCACTTGGAGGCCCCGCCTTCCCCAGACTTGAAAATATCAGGGTAACGAACTGTGGCAGCATGAAGAGGCTGGCGGGATCTGAGTGGTTTCCCCACTTTCCCAATTTGAGGACGATTAAGGTAGAAAATTGTAATAGCATCAGGGAGCTGCTATGGCATGAAAGTTTGCTCCATCTTCCAAATCTCGAACATATTATGGTTATTGGTTGTGAAGGGATAGAGGGGATAATCAGCAGAAGAGGAGAAAATCACGGGAGAAGCTCTCCTCTAAACACTCCGTCCTCTTCCTTACCATCTCCACTTTCTCCTTACTTTCGCAATTTGAGGACAATTGAAGTAGGAAATTGCAATAACATCAGGGAGCTGCTGCCGCATGAATGTTTTCTCCATCTTCCAAATCTCGAATATATCAAGGTTAGTGACTGTGAAAAGATAGATGAGATAATCGGCAGAGGACGAGAAAATCACAGGGGAAGCGCTCCTCTGAGCACCCCCTCTTCTTCCTTACTATCTCCACTTTCTCCCCGCTTTCCTAATCTGAGGACGATTGAAGTAAAAAATTGCAATAACATTAGGGAGCTGCTACCGCATAATTGTTTGCTCCATCTTCCAAATCTCGAATATATCAAGGTTAATGGCTGTGAAGGGTTAGAGGAGATAATCAGCGGAGGAGGAGAAACTCACGGGGAAGGCGCTCCTCTGAATAGCCTCTCCTCTTCCTCACCATCTCCGTTTTGTCCCCACTTTCCCAATCTGAGGACGATTGAAGTAGAAAATTGCAATAACATCATGGAGCTGCTACCGCATGAATATTTGCTCCATCTTCCAAATCTCGAACATATAAAGGTTCGTGACTGTGAAGGGACAGACGAAATGATCAGCGGAGGAGGAGAAAATCACGGCGCAAGCGCTCCTCTGAACACCACTTCCTCTTCCTTACCATCTCCATTTTTTCCAAATATGAGGAAGATTGAAGTAAAAAATTGCAATAACATTAGGGAGCTGCTATCGCCTGAGTGTTTGCCCCATTTTCCAAATCTCGAATGGATCATGGTTCATGACTGTGAAGGGATAGAGGGGATAATTAGCGGAGGAGGAGAAAATTCTCCGTTTTCTTCCCTAAAGTTGAAGACATTGGTGCTATACCAACTTCCACAACTGAAAAGTATTATGTGGGATGCCTTAAGTTTCATTCCCGATGCATTTGTTGTAGTACAAGACTGTCCGAAACTGAAGACCATTCCGCCCTGTGTTGAGAGGCTTGATGTGTTCAGGAGATGCAAAGCCCATGAAAATGATGGGCTCCCCCCATAAGTTTTAAGATTGATGTATTGTAACATTATCGGGTTATGAAAAATCTTATGACTTCTATCACTATGGAGTTTGGAGTGAATAAATCAATAAGTTATGGGTCAACTGGGATATATTAATTACATTACAACTCATCAATTTGTGATGTGGGACTTTTCTATCACAATTAACACATGCGTCTCAATGCACTATCTGATCAGGGGCATCTCCCAATTATAAATTCTGGACCTTGAGGAAATGTGGGAGACCTTTGGAGTGGGACCATATCATTGATTGGGCTCTACTGTGACATTACAGATTTCTAAGAGCGTACAATCTGGAAAGGCGCAGTAGGCTGGCGGAGACCCCCGAGTAAGATGTTCTAAAATGCCATCAAGTGCAGGTAACCTGTATCACTCACTCGCCGGACCTCCGTTCACTTGCAGGTAAAGACTTTTTAAATTGACCGTCACTTTTATGATCTCATGGGAAATTGGGTGAGACTGAGCTACTACGCTTGGGGTCCATTTGTCAGCATTCTATTTTCTGTAAGAGCAATGTAGATTCACAAGAGCTAGAATGGTTGGTTGTTTTACAGTGTCAAACTGCCAACTGTTTCTCTTTAGCCAGAGAGTAGCGCTATTCTTCTTACAGCAATGACATTGTTATGCAATAGAACAGTTGATCGCTTGTCAACTCATTAGTTTCATTTCCTTTGTGATTGTGATGGGTCGATCAGCCGAACTTCACACTGTTGAGAGCCACTAAATGCTCCCATCATCAGTCTATACATAAATACATACTATTTCGTTATGTATGGAATGGATACAAGAAAGAGACAGAGAGAACAATTCAACCGAATCCACGAGCAGGGTTTAAAATGAAAGTGGCAAATGATTAATTTATTACTTCTCTGTCTACTTACCGCTTCATCATGAACATTTTTTACCAATCATTTGTGTTCAACCAAGTTAACACCTCCCTCCCTCGGCAGAACAAGCCACATTCTGATTCAAACAGGAGCAGATGGAGAGAGGTATTCAAAGTGCAAACAAAAGCGAGCCCCATCAAGTGCATATAGAATTTTGGGCAAAACCACCTCCCTTATATTTGTGTTTAGAAAAGACTTTATATATGATATTGCCTAAACTTGTTGATTGAAGATGTGCCACATATGCTGCTTCGCTCTTTTGGATCAGAACAGCATGACACCGATTAAACTGTTTCAACATTAAACTATCGGGTATACAATATTTGAACTGCTCAGTAATTTTATCATATCTGGAACGTAGGCTAGGAAGTTTTCTTTTCACCCTTTGTTGTACAAATTCACCTCAGCCCCACTTTAAGTTAAGATGTAGAAGATAAAGAAGAAGAAAGAATTGCACAGTAATCACCCTTTTCGCAAATTTACCAGGTGTGCCTCTTTTGACGCCTCAAAGTAATGGATAGATGGAGAACCCTACAGCTTCAGCTTCTGTTAATACTCAAGTTGTTGAAAGAACGGAGCAGTTACCACTAGCGAGTCAATGGCAAAAAGGCCAGCTTATTGGACGTGGCACTGTCGGAAGTGTGTACATTGCAAGTAACCAGACCAGTAAGTTACCTCTGGGAAACTTCAACCTGTTGCATATTTTTTAACATCCAGCTAGCTAAACTTTGACAGGTTACGTGATAGAGAAACCAGAGCTCTATGTGCGTTGAAGGAGTACAAGTTATTGCTTGATGATCCAAATTCGGCTGAGTGCATGATGCAGTTCAAGCAGGTAATTTTTTTTTGTTATGCTCTAGGACATCTATCCTCTCATCTGATCTAAATATGCTGGGGAAACTCTCTTTTCATTTCCAGGTAATTGATTGCTTTGCTACCTCAATTTTTTCAACCTGTTACACAGGAAATTGAAGTACTTAGCCAGCGTAGACATCCGAACATTCTGCAATATTATGGCAGTGAAATTGTAAGTCACCTTTCCGTGGCACCTATACGTTCCAGCTCAACGGGCATTCATAATTTGACTCACCAAAATTTCAACATATCCATATATACTCAGGTTGATAATCGGCTTAACATATGTCTGGAATATGCACATCACAGTTCGATAGACATGTACATCCAGGAGCATCTTGGGGCCCTAACGGAATTGATTGTCTGCAATTTTACCCGCCATATTGTGACTGGATTGGCTTGCCTGCATGTTAACAACTCCATACATGGGTAATTCTAAACCATTGATCAAGCATCATGAGATGACTTGCATATTGGATAAGGACGATTGGACCTTCTTCTTTGTGCCTACAGACCTGTTAAAACTCTTTGGTTTGCGCAGGGATTTAAAGGGAGCTAATTTATTTGTGGATACATCTGGAATAGTCAAACTTGCTGACTTTGTGATTGATAAACATGTGAGTTTCCACCTCTTCACTGCAAGATTACTGAGTGCATGTAGAAATTCCTTGCTGATCTGTGGTTCATTTACTTGCGATTGTGAAATCAGGGTGACTGATAGATTAGGTTAGGCGCAAAAAGAAAAAAGAGAAAGAAAACATGGAAGCTTGTTATTCTTCATCTATGGTCTCTCAATGCGTACTTTTCATTATGGGTCTGTGGCATTTCACCTGTGCAAAAGTCTATTATAGATGGACGAAATGTTAGAATGATTTTCTTCCCTTTTTTACCCATCGTTTCTGGTAAAGCAACTATGTTGCATAAACCGGAAAAAATTCCTTGCTGTGGTTAGGTGCCAAAACCTCTTTGGGGAAAAGTTCTTCTTGTGTTGTTTTTGCTGCTCCTCTGCCTTCCAAGAGAACAATCGAATTTAGTCAGAGTAAGAAGCGCCTCCTTCCTAACACGGGGTAAATAAAAGTGTATTGGTCCATAGAACAGAAGGCTGGACAGTAGCCAAGGTATTGTTGCTCTCTTTTCAAGTTTCTGAAGCATTTACTAAAATCATGTTGTTTTTTTGGTAAGGTACTAAAATCATGTTGTTGATTGCTTCACGGTTTGTTTTTCTCAATGGTAAGCTAACATAAGTCGAAAGTGGTTAATTTAGTTCTTTTATTGATCTGATGTATCTGTCTATGAAGATGTTGCAATTTTATGCAGTGTTCCATTAACACACCAGACAGTCTTCGGCTTTACTAATGTACTACCGTTTCTTAGCTAACTAGACAAGCAGCTTACCGCTCTTTGAAGGCAAGTCTAAATTGGATGGCTCCAGAGGTACTTCGCTTTTGTGAACGTCAATGCTGCATTCTTTTTTGTCGTGGCGGAGTGATGGAATAGTATACCCTGTAGCTTGTACGATCCTTGATGGCGAATGATAACAGCACTGATCATGATCATACTGTTGATATGTGGAGTTTGGGATGTCCTATTATCCAAGTATGAATGGGATATCTTCTTGGAGCAAGTATGAGCAGGTAAGAACGCTGTGTTGCTTTTTCATTTGCTCTGTCAGTCCTTGGACTGAATCCGTGTCACTGCTTTCTGTTGGAAGTTCAGGACCGTGTGTATTACCTTTCGTCATGTGATCTGTGGCTTTAGTTTCTGTTTAAGGATAAATCATTTCATGCAGGCTGCGGCTATGTTTATGGTGATGCGAAGTGCTCCGCCAATACCTGAGACATTGTCCGCCGAGGGAAAGGATTTCCTGCAGTGCTGATTTCGGAGACAGCCTGCTGAGAGGCCGCCTGCTGCTATGCTGCTTGAGCATGCTTTCCGGCAAATTTGAAGTTGCAGATGACTAAACTTTTTCCATGTGCCGTACGTTGTTGCAAAAGGCATGTCATATTGTAAAGGTTCATATTTACTAAACCAAAAGGATTAGAAAGAGGAAGGGCAGTGGGTGCAGGGTGTGTTTGATCCTTCACACTGTTGGAGCACGCGGGACTCGGCTTTTCTGTGATCGAATTTCCTAGGAAGACTTCGTGCAGTGTGGAAGGTGCTACATGGACATTAGTCCATTGATAAGATGAAGAAGAAAGAAGACTCATATGATCGAATAAGAGATGCTTCTGCTTCAAAGGAAGGGCATTGGGTGCGAAAGAAAGGAGGGTCGACAACGGGTTTCTTTTCTAGAAAAGGTACATTTTAAGGACTTCTGTCAGTACAAAAAGTTACTAGCAAATTGAAAAAATTGTTCATCACGTGGAGAATTACTTACCATCTATCATGATTAGCTACGAGGTATTGGTTAAAAGAATACTCGTTTATTGATCAATTAAGATGCACGATCTGATCCGCTCACATCCACAGATGCAATTTGACAGTGTTGCCTTTAACAATGTTTAATATGGAGTGCATCCGAGTCAAAAACATTTTTTACGAGATACATCTATTCATCAAAATTGAATGGTGTTTATATGGCGCCAAAGAAGCATCATATTGGCAGACACAAGCAACAAAACCAACCAAAAACAAAAGGGGTAAGTGTATTAGAAATCTTTAAATTTATTTTATTAGTGTAATTAAATTTTAATACTTGTCCAATCAGTGGAATCAAATACTACGTCAGTTTCAAACGATTTGAGATTGAAAATACTGATATAACATTTTTTATTTTTCAAGGGTACGCGACATTGAAGTTGTTAAAGATATGTCTTGATTTTGAGCCATTTATAAAATTCGATTCGATCGGATAAATATTCAAATTTAATCGCAAAAGGAAAATTCAAAAAAGGAGCTTCTGTTTCGGAGAAAAGCAAAAAAATATTTCTGGCATTACAGGATAAAAGATGGACACATATTTTACAATTTATATATTTCTCTTATAGGGGTAAAAGTGTCTTTGGTGGAGGAAGGGTTTTACTTTTGGTGGGTGTGGCTTGCCAGTAGTCGTATGAAAGAAAAGATGAAATCGTCTGTGCGCCCCGCTCTCTTCCTGGAATAGCTGCACAGTGAAGGATAAAAAATAAAATCAAGGGGTTCCTTCACCTTTGCTAGCGGTTAGCCAAACGGTAAGAGTTTTTCTTTCTTTGAAGCCGCCGCACAAGCCGAGAGCCGCACAGTGGGACTCCAAGGGGACGAACGCGAATTGAGGGATGAACGGTACAGTGACCTCCCCTTAATCGCGTGCGGAGGAGTTGAAGACTTTTGCTGTGAGTTCACATCCATTACTTTGGGGTTCGGGCTTAAATCTAGGTGTGAAAAATACTTAAGCATATAAGCAATTTACAACTTTAATTTTCTGATTATAATAGATTATTCGTTGCTGGCTCTTTCTGTGGATGTAGATATCGACATTCGGATCGAATCACATAAATCTCTGGTGTCCTTTATTATTTCCTGTTTATTTCTTTAGTACTTTTGTATTAACTTAATTTGCAAGATCCTGTCGTTTCCGCATTATATATTTCAACAGAAGTTGTGCCAAGAAGGACCCTTACGAAAAAAAAGGCCAAAAAAGGGAAAACGAAAAATAAAAATAGCAGAGAAAATCGGAATCAGAGAGAGAGAGAGAGAGAGAGAGAGAGAGAGAGAGAGAGAGAGAGGGTGACGTGAGTTATACCTTTGCATCACCACGACTATCTCAATTGCACAGGAACTACTGTTCCAGCTTTTGCTGATAATAATTAGAGTTATGGTCCAAAACCTGATCTTCTAGTCTTCAAATTCCGACAACTATAGCCCAT